TTGTGTATACCAGAGTGATTTTTTTCTTCGATTTTACATATAAAATTATGCACGAAGATCATTAATTTTATATATGAATGACACTTGACCCCCTGTAAATCCGCAATGTCCTGCGACTGTTTAGGAGAACTGCGTTTTGTCACCTTGAACTCTGTCAAAAAATAAATTGTTTTCCAAGAAAAAAAAAATCATTCACATCAACAAAAAACAACAACAGCGTGTGCATTTGTCGATCAAATATAACTATATCTTTTTTTTTGCTCTTGAAAAAGAAAGAGTATTATATAAATTCCTTGTCCGTTTTTATTAACTATTCTTTTTGTACACATAATTTTTGTAGCTATCATTGGGTAAATTAAAAAATCCAGGATGTCTATTAAAAACCAAAAAAAGAAAAGAAACCACTAAAATAGCCAACGACAATGGATAAGTGGTTTATCATACGAATGGTGGTGGCTATTGCCACTTGTTGTCAATTCTTAAAGAAAATGATAAAAGATCAAAAAATAGTCATTCACTTGAAGAAAATAATAAAAAATCAAAAGATATATTTGAAGAGAGGTAATATGTCAACTTTTATTTTGTGCAATATTTATAAGGTAATTTATTTCATTACTAATATACATCAGGAAATTAATTTAGCATAAACTTGCATAAATCTTATGATGCCGATGTAATATTGTGTAAATCTTACAGTGCCGATGTAAGTTTTACACTTTTTTATTATTAAACTTACAATTGACACATGTAAAATTTTTTTATATTTTCCGGATGTATACATTGTTCAAATACAGCTCTTTATGGGAAAAATTGTGAATTTGTCACTACCAGTTGAAGGAGAAAAGAAACAAAATTTGATCCAAAAAAAATATTTAAAAATAAGGAATTTTCAGAATTAGATAAATTTGTAACCAATTCAATCCTTGTAGGTGAATAGTGGTTAAATATTAATGAACAGCCAAATGGACTATTGGAAACATTTTTGATGGTGAGAATAGCATAATGGACACTCATTTTGTGCAACAGTCATTTGTATATATAATAGGCAGGCGGTTACACAGAGCCCGTTGCTTCTGAAACTTCACTAGAATATACAGTCAGGATTTTTCCAAATTTGGAATTACCAAATATTGCAATGATCAACATCCTAAATAGTAAATTTGCACTACGT